CTGGGTGCGCTAGAAAGCAATTTTTTACATTGTTTGGCCCTTTTCTTTCCAAGCTGGAATGTGTTTCCGTACACTTTTGGAAAACGCCGACTCCCGCGACTAATATATTCTGAACCACAGGAGCATTTGAATGAATAGATGCACATAGAGGTGGACCTGGCTGGCAGTTTGTCCTTGATCTCTCCGTATAGGATGGGAGTAGTCGAGAACAGTACATGGGCGTTAGCCGCTGGAAAGGTGGTTTCTACAGCCTGAATCAGGCGCCTGTTTAGAAGTTATTTTGGTTCACCCCCTCGAAATGGAACGCTAATGAATATTCGCCCTTAGAACCGAGGGCTTTTGCAGTCTTTCAGCCATGGTCTTAGCGATAAATTGACTGGGATGTCCATTTTGTCGAAAAAACGCCTTCAAAAATCTCAAGATCAACTTTTATGCTATTAGTCGAGCAGACCCTTCGCCGTTTTCTCTTTTTGGTCATTAAACTGTGAGTTAGAATGCCTTAATAGACCATGTAAAGGGCTACGGAACAGTTGTCAGGCCTCAATCGTTCCCTTGGATACGCGGTCATTTCTTCGACCCAGAATCTTGGAATTCTGGAAGGCGTACGTTTGTCCACAGTTTGCGCAGCGACCAAAGAAAATGGGTCCATTCTGCCTACTGCCCTCAGGTTTTCCCCAACGCGGTTCTATGATCGTTTTCTATCTCCATTGTAGCTGACTGCGCCCGGATAACATTTCATCCTGTAGATGACATTTGTGGTTTCACCTCGTGACAGGGGTGACTTAGGTCTCATGACCAGAGGTCGTGTTACTGAATGCGACGACTGCCTCTAAAACGCCGCCAATGTATAGAAGTGCCTGCCATAGTTTTGACTACTCCGCAGCCTTTAATACTATCTAACGCCATCCCCTCCTTAATGAAATGTTTCTAAATGGCTCTCCCGGCTGGGCTGTTTATTGGCTTGAGCAATATTTCACATGGTGCACTCCATTCGTCCGCTGCAGCAAGCGAAAGTCGACTGTACTTTCCGACAACTGTGGAGTCCTTCGGCGATCTACCTAATCACTTCACCTGTTCTTTCTCCACACTGGCGACCTAAACTCACAAAATGACTGTTTTTATGTAAAATGTGCTGATGATACGGTTTTTTGTCATCCCTTCAAAAGTCAGATACATCTCCAGGTACAGAAAGATATCCTGGACCATGTATCAGCACTGTCGTTGGCCAATGACTTTCTATGGAATTCACTGAAGTCAGTATTGAGCGTTTACCAATTGCGACCCTCTATCAGTCCTGAATCCTTGCACATCCTGCTGGATGGGGTTTCCTCGTTCCGGTACCTTGGTTTTACCCTGATATTCAATCTTTCATTTATTTTTCATATTGAAACCTTCTTCCTTAACGTATATATTTTACTCGAGGTCTACTTTACCATCACAGACACCTTAAACTCTCATCTGGCAAATGGATTGATGCCTGCATTCTCTTCTTCAAGGTCTACTGTTTTCCTTAAAAAAGACTAGCTACTTTCTAAACATTTCCTCCGAATGTTCCCTTCAGCTGCTGGTGTTTCTAATTCAGTTCATAGATCAAAGTGTGCTCACCGGAATGTGCGTTTTTGTTCGCTGACGTTTCGGACAGCTGGGCTGGATGGCCTCTGTCAAAGCGTGAACTGAATTAATCGATCAGCATCTGAAGGTTGTGGCTGTACGTGTTGGCAATGGGCTGATCGCTTTTTCTATCTTTGCTACTTGGCCCTCTGTGTGGATTTTGGCATATGTTGACGGCAGTTCGAGTTGTGTTTCGTCCTCACGTTAGAGCATGTTGATAAGCCTACCTCGTCTTTTAGTGGTTTCATCAGGGTTCCGTTCAGTTGATGATATAAGACAGCAACACCTTACAACGGTCAAGCAATTTGCTGATCAAATTCCTGATGTGGTTGTCAGTCGCCTCTTCTCCTAATTAACGGCTTCAAAGTTTTCTCGTATTATGCGCTGAGGCTTTCGATATACATCCTGCCGTACACCGGCATATCAGCGTTCTATGGCTACACGCAAGGAAACTAAAATCCAGAAGGTGAGATGGAACCTGTCTTCACAGCAGATGTGTGTTTTAGGAAAATCGCTAGATTTTTGAATATTTTGTTAATTGACCCGTGGTCTCAGTGAATTAAGCTAGTTTTTTTGCTGAAAATATTGATGGTATCTTCAAAATAGGACGTATTTCTCTCGGGCGAAAACGCACCATGCTGATAGGAAACGAACTGCTCTAGGCAACACTAAAAAGGAGTTATTAGAGCCTGACTAAGTTGCCTGATAGGAGGGCTGAATTATCAGTTGGCACGATATTTAGTGCAGCATGCTAGACTCAGCCAATATAGATTTGTATAGTCAGGTATACATTAACGTGCCGCTAGCATTCATTCCATAAAATCAACCACTCTTTTCTCTCTCCTATACGCTGACTAGATCGGCCGGACATCAGTTTTTAAGTTAAACAGTTCCTGAATTCTCAAGAATTAGCTGACAATATTAAGAATTATTTTGCGAATGACGGGAATTCTGACTTGCTTTAAATTTAAACAACCCTATAATAGGGTATTAGGAGCATAGTTAGCTTGTAAACAAACTCTCTGGTTACGTTTATTGAAGTAGCATCCTGCCGCCTCTGAAATAATGCACGCTGAATAGTCACCAGTAAGAAGTCCAGGCAATTAAAGAAGGTCATATAATCTTGATATCATGAGTATTAAATGAATAATGAGAAAAGTTCAAAGCATCCCAAGTAAATACCGATGAAGGACGAAATTGTTCCGATGTGCGCCACATTTATTTCTCTATCAAAAACGCAGAACTAAGAGTAAAAGAAAATGTTTTTTTGAATAAAATTACTGTGTGATTTAAAACCGCCTGGGAACGACCGATTCCCTAAAGCCTGCTCTCAACTGTGCGTCATGATTCCAGTCTCGTACTTTTGGAAAACCCTCATAAACTCCTCCGAGGGTGGGGTTTTCATGAATGGGACCACCCGCTGTAGACGGCCGTCAATCCTGTTGGGACGCTGTAGACCCAGAAGGCCGCAGATAAGGGGATAGATGTCAATCTGCTCCATGTGTTGAATTCCCTCCAACACCTTGATGTCCGGACCCATCGCAACCATGAAGGGGTGCATCCGTGGGTCCTCATTGTCGTAACCGTGATTGCCACGTATACCTGATCAACAAAAAATATCCCGCGTAATTTTAAATACTTAACTACCAAATATGCATATACTAAGTAGGTAGAACAAATGATAGGTAGCCCCCAAAAAGCTCTAGTGCGATATTTCCAACCCTAGTTTTTTATTTATTCTGACGAAGGACAAAATTCATGAGCACAACTCGATTTTTCGACAATATCTTCCTTCTTTTCATCATAGCATCCCGGAGCCTAACTTACTTCACTTATCTACTTGCAGTATGTCTACAAATTTGTGCAAGGGTCATAATGAAATTCGACTTGGTAGTTAAGCATATATTTGGTCAATTTATTTTGATCCACCGACTAGAATTAATCTTAAGAAAAACTGTCCTTTTAGTTAAGGGTACTGGCATTCCTTTTGGCCAAATTTTGGAGTGGCGTACTCTCCAATGCACTTCTTTTAAGTATGACAGACCCACGGTTATTATAAATATGCATTACACTATAGGAGAATCCCAAAATAAGTGAGACAACTTTAAAACTTATCCCTGCCAGAACCGAAGAATTAAGTCCGAAATTGCTCAAATTCAAGTGAAGCCAATTCTAAGGAATCGCGTTTATTTTCAGAAACAAGGAGCAACTTTGGTATTAAAAGTTATTTTTTGCTAACGTGTGGAGTTTTTTTGCCACAAAGTATGATAAAAATATCATGGTCGCATGTTGGTTTACCGTATTGAGTAATTTCGAGGAAAACAAAATTGTCAGTATATGGTATCGTGAAGTTGATGTAGAGCAGATCTTATAAAATGTAAATCGTGTAGAAATATACTTTTATTTACACTATAATTTCCTTTGATGCGTTATTTAGAAACGACACAGACAAAATAATAATAATAATTTGATCAAATATCGCTATGTATGGCCACTCGAGGTTTGCATTCACAAGCTAAGAACAAAGCCTGGAAGCAATCCACTATGGCGAAAAGTAATCCATTATAAAGAAAAAAGTGAGCTCTTTCATTTCCCACAAATTAATTCATCTAGCCTGACGTAAATTTTGGCATTATTAAAAACACTTTATTTTTCCTAACAAAAATAGTACTTCTTATATTTCTTATGATTAATAAATTTGCCTATTATGTCTAAGTTTTCTAACATGCGTTAGGACCGGTTTTCGTGTGATTATCTATCCTTCGATTACTTCGGAATATTATACAGCTAATGCCTCGTACTGCATATAGTAAAATTGTTTCTTAATGTTGCTCACTGAGCTGATCTTAACCTCAGGGGATAAATGCCAGCTGGAATATTTGCCTACATATTTGCATTTTTTTAGAATATTTCTTAAATGTGTAAAAAATGACCAAGAAGGCGAATTATCAGTTAACTAAAAAGAACGATGGCTCATACTCCCAGGGCGTATAGTTTAGGGCAGCAATTGCACACAAATGCTGCTGCTTGAGCGTGAAGCACTAGATCAAGTTTCTCGAATACTTTCTAATCCCTTATTGATTTTTATCCAGCTAGCAGGTTTGCCCTATATTAAGTGTATTTTTGTGGGATACGTTTCCGTATTTTAAGCATGTAAAATCCTATGATTAAATGCTGCACAAATTACGTTTTTTTGAATCAATTTTTCTGAAATTTATTATATTAATACTTGACATCCGTGAAAAAATATTGTTTCCTTTGATTTTGTTCGCTATTACTTAAAGCAAGTTTTTAAAACCACCATCTGTCAACAATAACTTGGAATGTAGCATTTAGTCAGACTTAATTTCTCAACGTAATTCATTATCTGTGTTATTTATATAACAGTGAGGCCCAGCTTATTGGGGTACCCAATAAACAGCTAATAACTGAATTTTAGGGCAGGCATCCCAAGAAATATAATTCGACTTGATCCAAATATCTTGAGAAAATGCTGTCCCATACGCAATTTAACGGCACAATAGTTAAGGAAGTACGATGCAGAATCTTGCTTAATATTTAATAGTATGCTTAAGTTACTATATAAGTCAACACTCAATGTTAATTCGACATCCTAGGAGTCCAAAACACATCACGTTAGTTTAAACTCAACTAAGCTATCAACTCTAGAAAATAAAATAAACTAAACTGAAACGAATATAACTTAATAATAAGCTAAACATGAAAATAAAATAAAACAAAAGGAAAACTAAAATCAACAAATATAAAACTAAACTAACCATCAACTAAATAAAAGCCTAATAAATAAACAGAAGTAAATGATAGACTTCAACGAAGAAGTTATCCATGTTTAATAAACTAGGCTGATGTTTAGAGGGAACCCTTAGCCGAGACACAAACGAGATTTTGAGACATCTTAAAAGAGTTAAAGCTACAAACAAGGATTTTACGCAATCATAGTCTGGTTTGCCGGATGCGGGGCTGATCGTAATATCTAAATAAGCAACGTAATGACACGACATGCAGTTAGGTCGTAACGTGAGTAGATATTTGATCTTCATTTAAAAATAAATAGTAATTAAAGGGAGACAGACAGTGAAGTCGAAAATGCACAGAACATACCCTTTTTGGTTGGGTCACTAGTATATTGATTTTTCTGAGTGTTTATCAGATAACCGGTATCCGCCAGAAGAAAAACAGGCGGCATGCGATAGCTCCGCTTCATATGAAAACGTTCCGGCAGATCCTCCTTGGACCATAGGGTGCAGTTTTTTAGAATACCGTTTTTGATTCCGTTTTGAATTTTATCATACAGGTATGTCGCGTTGCGTCCTACAAGGTTAGGAATAACAGCATATAGGCATACAATAGAATGAGTAAACACTTCTAATGGATGTACCATTGTGACCGTAAGAAACATGTACAAGACAATAAACGTTTTGGAGACCGCATCCATACGAAATAAAGCAGAAAGTTCATCTAGTGTGAAGATGACAAAAGGGTCTTTACCTTCTCTAGGCCAGAGTCCGACCAGTCCCGGAGAGTTATTTCCGAAATAATCTTTTCTATTACTTAAAACCTCGTGTAGCTTGACTCTGTTGTTTAGAGGTATCTGTGCCATACCGTGGTCCGCTGTCACGATGAGATTCAGCTTCCCGTTGAGCTCCGGGCTTGCTTTCATCCTCT